GGATGGAAATTAATTGTAGTTACATTTAATAGTTGCAATAAATGTAATTGTGTAACACTTAAGGGTGCGTTTGCAAATCGGGCCAAATTATGCTGTTTTTCGGTACATTTTGTGACAAAACTAAACCAAATCAAATATAACTAATAACTACAACGTATAGAATGGTTCTTTATCTTCAAATGGTGGTAACTTTTTTGTTGAAAATAATAGTTTTTTACATTGTAAAAAGGATCTTCCCTAGCCATTTTCTACAAAATTAACGATACCGGCTCATGTATCGGTACATTTTTTTGTTCTATTATCAACATATATTAAGATTTCTAAAAATACTGTAAGTAGGCAGACATATTCAATAAAAAATGCTGGTGTTTAGTTTTTATCAAAATGTCACAAATGGTCGTAAAAAAAATAAAAACTGATGCTTATTTTTTTGACATATTTTGCTGATACGGATGAATCCTAATGGATTGCAATAAGGGTTATTTTATTTTTAGTGCCTGTTTTGATTTGTTGTACATAAATTTCGATGAAACCACAGTCGGCGCTCGGCCGCCATCGCAGGTGGTCGTTGTATCGCCTGCAGCAGCTGAAAAAGATCGCTGTACAAACACAAAATATTTGAATTTAATAAATAGGTACCTGACCTGACAAAGTAAAGTAATACATATGTAATATAAATATATTTTTATAATCACAAATTCTTATTATAATGGTTTGTTTCGCTAAAAGCAAGTGGGATTTATAATATATAAATCCTATTCGTCTTGGACTTTATGGAGTGATCTGAAAGTATACGGTGAATGCTACTAGAACTCCTCCACGAGTTGAACTAGGTGTGCCGAGTTTGGGCTCATTATGTTAGTTATGACGAGACCTTACCTCCGGACTTGATGGAATGACCTGAAGGTGTATTTCGGTAACGGCTAGTGGAACTCCTGGACGAGTACAAGTAGGTATGCCGAGTTTAGGCTCGTTTTGTTAGTTATGACGAGACCTTACCTGCAGACTTGACAGAATGACCTGATGGTGTACGTTGGTGACTACTACTGCAACACCTTGAACGAGTAGAAATAGGTGTGCCGAGTTTGGGCTCGTTTTGTTAGTTATGACGAGATCTTACTTCCGGACTTGATGAGAGACCTGATGGTGTACTTCAGTGACTACTAGTGACGGCTCCGTGGCGCAGTGGCTTAGCAATCAGTTGTTGCGCAGGGGGCCGCGGGTTCAAATCCCGCACGGAACAAGTATTTGTATGGCCTACAAATAATTGTTCCGGGTCTGGATGTTTGTCCTTGTGCAATTTATGTTTGTAAACTGCCTCCACGACACAGGAGAAAATCCTAGTGTGGGGGTAACGATTTAAAAAAAAAGAAAACTAGGCTCCTGGACGAGTAGAACTAGGTATGCCGAGTTTGGGCTCGTTTTGTTAGTTATAACGAGACCTTACCTCCGCACTTGATGAAGAGCCCTGATGGTGTACTTCAGTGACTACTTCTGGAACTCCTGGTCGAGTAGAACTAGGTGTGCCGGGTTTAGGCTCGTTTAGTTAGTTAAGATGAGACCTAACCTCCGGTATTGATGGAGAGACCTGATGGTGTACTTCAGTGACTACTACTGAAACTCCTGGACGAGTAGAACTAGGTGTGCCGAGTTTGGGCTCGTTTAGTTAGTTATGATGAGACCTTACCTCCGGAATTGATGGAGAAACCTGATGGTGTACTTCAGTGACTACTACTGGGACTCCTGGACGAGTAGAACTAGGGGTGCCGAGTTTGGGCTCGTTTCGTTAAATATGACGAAACCTTACACCCGGACTTGATGGAGAGACCTGATGGTGTAATTTAGTGACTAGGTAGTGCGGAGGTAAGGTCTCATCATAACTAACAAAACGAGCCCAAACTCGGCACACCTAGTTATACTCGTCCAGGAGTTCCAATAGTAGTCACTAAATTACACCATCAGGTCTCTTCGTCAAGTCCGGAGGTAAGGTTTCGTCATAACTAACAAAACGAGCCCAAACTCGGCACACCTAGTTCTACTCGTCCAGGAGTTCTAGTAGTAGTCACTGAAGTACACCATCAGGTCTCTCCATCAAGTCCGGAGGTAATGTGTCATCATAACTAACAAAACGAGCCCAAACTCGGCACACCTAGTTCTACTCGTCCAGGAGTTCCAATAGTAGTCACTAAATTACACCATCAGGTCTCTCCATCAAGTCCGGATGTAAGGTTTCTTCATAACTAACAAAACGAGCCCATACTCGGCACACCTAGTTCTACTCGTCCAGGAGTTCTAGTAGTAGTCACTGAAGTATACCATTAGGTCTCTCCATCAAGTCAGGAGGTAAGGTCTCGTCATAACTAACAAAACGAGCTCAAACTCGGCACATATGGTACTACTCGTCCTGGACTTCCAGTAGCAGTCACCCAAGTATACCTTCAAGTCACTTCACCAAGTTCGGAGCTGAAGTTATCATAACTAACAAAACCATCCCAAAGTACACAGCCAACATCTCACTCCCAGTAGAGGGCTTCTAGTGCCTAGATGTCACTGTAGCAGCCATTTATATTTCGAATCTACGTATATTTTTGTAGTTATAAGAAATATGAAAAAAAAAACTGTCTTTCAAATTATCAAAATGTTTATACTTGATTGCGATTCCCGCAGCTAACCGTGCGTACACTTGTGTGTGTGACCCGTGTCAATGCAATAGTTCGATTCTATACCTATCAATTTTGTAAACGAGTCCTTAAAGCCACAGACCAACAGATTTTACTACGAAAAAGTTAATTCGCAATATTTTATAATTAAGGTCTAACGATCTAAAAACTATACATATTTTATCTCGTAAATCAATGTTTTTAGTAAATTTACAAAGTAGGTAAGGTACATCATTTTATTTTTTAAGCGGATCACAGCTAATTATTGTATTGGAAAAATTTATTTTCGCAAATTAACCCCTGATTCTATTATTTTTAGTTTGAAAAGCTTTGAAGCTTTGAAAACCATGGTAACCGACATAGCCCAACGAATTAATAAGCTGAAGTGCGAACCGCAGTGAATGCCGGTTATATAACCCGACAAAACATTCTTGAGCAGCAGCCTCGTACCGGTAGGCGAAGTGTAGGGAGCCCCGTACTAAATGGATGAACTTGCTAAGACATGCAGGAAGTCGATGGATTCAGGTGGCTCAGGACCGAGCTTTGTGGCATTCCTTGGGGGAGACCTATGTTCAGCAGTGGACTTGTGAAGGGCTGTAATAAATGAATGGATAAAAAAGCTCCTTGCATATATGGGTTAATTTCATTAGATAAATGATATATATTTGATGAAGGTAAATAGCGTCATGACAATTGATCGACTGTAAAGAACACCTGACTCGAAATCGCGAGCGAGATGCGCAATATCTTTAAAAGGAATCTCTGGTAATGTAACGTATGAAAACGAATAAATATTGCTTGTTTCAGTAACGCGTTTAATGTATCTTACTGAATAGCTCAATAAGTCTCGTATCCACCTGTTGGATATTATACTGCCAATATTCATCTTTAAACTGGGATACAACAGTCTACTGCTGCTTTGCCACTTCCATAGCCAGCTGGATTACTAGGCATAAAAGATAGAAAAGTATATACACGTAGTAACGCAAAGAGATCTAAGTCACACTCGATTCAAAAATGAGATATACGTCAAATTATTTCATAGATTGTATACTTTAACATAGCAAAAGTCGTTTAGTTAAAAAAAACTTTTTAACAAAAAAATTAAACCGCCGAAAAAACTGAAAAGCAAAAAATAATAAACCTTTTTTATTTAACCTTAATAAATAAGTTCTTAAACTAATTTAAGTATACATAAGTATAGCATCCCTTTGCATTTTCTTTCGCATCTACCATGGGGAGTGCTCTGAGGAATTGTTCGGATTAATCCCAGCCGCCAAATTTCACGAACGCACATCGCGGCAGAACTCCCGATACCATCCACACCATCTGGATGATTGGCGGTCCACCACTGTGCGATTTAGAAGATGTTTTCTTCCTCGCACGACCTCCTTGTGGAATCGATTACCATCAGCGATTTTTCCGGACCGATACGACTTAGGGACCTTCAAGAAAAGAGCGTACTCCTTTTTAAAAGGCCGGCAACGAATCTGCGATTCCCCTGGTGTTGCAGTTGTTCATGGGCGGCGGTAGTCACTTACCATCAGGTGAGCCGCATGCTCGTTTGCCCCCTCTCCTATAAAAAAAAAATATATTTTTGTAATTATTTTGAGTTTTTAATTAACCTTAATAACTTGCTTCTAAAACTAATGTAAGTATACCTAAGTTATTTTGAGTCGGCGCCAAACAAGCAAATTAATTAATTACGTAAAGCGTGATGCGCGGCGCGACTCGCCCGGAAAACGCCGAGCGTTCACGAAGTTATTGTCAGCGAGACAGCAACCCGAACGGGCACACACGTTAGGGCACACGTCGTTGCGAGTGGTCGTCCAGAGAGCGCATTTTTTGGAATATTAATGTTTATCGCTGAAGATTTCACGTTGCATTGTTAATTTGATTTTGTTTTGGTTATATCTTTTAATTTAAGGTAATTTAGTGTTCTTTGTTCATTGATTGTTTGGCGCCGACTCAAAATTACTTAGGTATACTTACATTAGTTTTAGAAGTAAGTTATTAAGGTTAATTAAAAACTCAAAATAATTACAAAAATATATACTTATGTATACTTAAATTAGTTTAAGAACTTATTTATTAAGGTTAAATAAAAAAGGTTTATTATTTTTTGCTTTTCAATTTTTCCGGCGGTTTAATTTTTTTGTTAAAAAGTTTTTATTTTATAATTTTTCGTGGTTATAATCTAATAATTACAACATGCTTAAATTTTAATTACTTTCAAATTAGCTACCTACCTTAACTATTAACTGTTATATAATCCCACTTTAACTATTATTTGGTGTATAATATAAATACTTAAAAAAAAAACAGGCTTTATATACCACCATGGGTAGGCCTACAAAAAATGCTGCTCGAATGAGAAAAAGATATTTAGAAGAATTTAATGATGAGAAAAATAAAAGGTTGGAAGCAAATAGAAAGAGAATTAGATTAACACGTTCACAGGAGAGTTTAGATGAGCGCGAGGAAAGACTGTCGAAGATGAGAAGCTACATTAACGATAGGTTATCGCAAGAATATGAAGAGCAACGCGCTCATCGTTTAGGTCTGATCAGAGAGCGATTTTCAAATGAAACTGAAGACGAACATTTGCTACGTTTGAATGCTGCTCGTAACTGTTCTGCAATGGTGATACTTCACGAAACTCCCGAGGAGAGAATTAATCGTTTGAGCGCCATGCGACAAGCGGCTTGGGAGCAAAGAAACCAGTTTAATGCAGAAAATTTTAAAAAAGCGATTAATCTTTATGCTGACTTGCCGTGTTCAATATGCAAAAAAAGTTTGTATCCTCAGCAACGTACGATATTGCAAACTACAAATTTAGGCTCTATTTTGCCTAATGAATTGGTAGCTTTAGGTAATATTATTACTTGTTCACGATGCTCAAATAATATTAAAAAACATAATACTCCACCGCAGGCCTATTGGAATAAAATGTCGGTAGCTGCAATACCTACAGAAATCGATGACTTATCGGAAATTGAGAAACGTTTTATTTGCAGAGTAGTGCCATTTCTTAAAATAATAAAAGTTCAAAATCGTTTGAGCCAAGACTGGTGCAAAGAGCAGGCAATTATTTTTGCTCAGGATGTGGTCGAGCTAGTGGAGCAACTTCCGCTTGAACCTAATCAAACTGGATTAGTGTTCGTAGTAAAAAGTCGTGAAAATGTAGAACATTCTAGGGAGTTTCAAATAGATGTAGGTAAACTTCAATTAGCATTGCAGTGGCTCCTAATGAATAATGCACTCTATAAAGATGTTCGTGTATATTTTCCTACTGTGATCGATATTTCTACGATAACACAAATTGCTGATGAACCTGCACATGGTCATGATAGTGAAGAACCAATTGCTGAACGGTCAACTATACCTACAAATAACTATACTGCCTTGAGTAACAATGTATCTATATTACATGGTTCTTTTCATCAGGACAATGAACGATTTAGTCCAGAGTCACGTGGTCGGCAATGCACAGGGATCGCAACTGTTGCTAGTGTGGCATTTTCTCTGATCAATCCTAATAATTGGTGCAAAAGCGACGTAGATTACATGTTATTGCTAGGAGATAAATATTATAGAGACTGTATTGCGGCTCGGGCTAACCCCAATCCCGAAGAAGCACATATGGAATATTTGGCTGCAACTGAGCTTTTACCTAATATCACATACAACAATCGAAAAGTTGATATCAATGTTCGTCATGAATCAGCATTTAATGGTCACGTAGATAACGACAATAGTGAAGAAGGATTTCCCAATTTGTTAAACGCTCTAATAAATGTATTTAGGGATCACAGTTATGCCATACTTACGCTGAATAATACAACTGTAGCCGTCCATTGTAGACAAGAGCCTGAAGGTTTTTGACTCCCACGCGCGAGGTCCAAAAGGTTTCAAAGCTCGAACGAGAGGTACTTCATGTTGTATACGATCTACTAGTATCCATGATTTGCATATTATCGTGCGTAGAAATTTATTCATTAAAACACATCTGTCAATGTGTTAACTCAGAATGTTTTTTCACTGACACCACTTACGATAACACCCGAAAATCAATTAGAATGGTTGCAGCAACATAGAGAAACATCTTCAGATATTCAACAACGACTTCAATCATCTAATTGTCACCAGCCGCAAGATCTGCATACATCTATTATCGTGCAACAACCGCCAAAAGAAAATATTAATAACATGGAAAAAGATTTAATAGACCCACAATTACAGCAAAATTATAATACAGAAACGAGATATATTTTCACAACCAGTATGCTTAGGAATATAGATGAAAGAATACCTAATTTGGACAGTGTTGTTACCATAGACAACCCTAACCCAGAGGATGAAGTAAGACTACAAGAAGTTAAATGAAAAACAGCACCGCCCCTAAATTATGAACGTGAAAGAAGAATGGAAGAGTTGGGCTGGTACTTTTTATTCCCTGACAGAAAAAATGGATTTGGTGAAGAAAGAGAGGTTTCGATTACCCCATTAGACTACTTCCAAGCTCGTGTAATGAGTAATGATAAAAGGTTCCAGAGAAATGATTATTTATTTTTTGCATTGTCTGTAGTCGAGTATTTTCGAGCTAAAGCTAGTGTGTCAGTTTCATGCAGAATGCGTCAAGGGCAAGGAGAATTTACACCCCACGGACTGATTGACAATATACATCTGACTATGAGAAATGTGCGAGGGTCTGCTTCGTACTGAAGACGATGCTGTTCGGAGTTGATTGCTATGGTAAGAAGTCTAGGGCCTCCTACCTGGTTTATGACCTTTTCGTGTAATGATCTTAACTGGCCGGATATGATAAAAGCTTTGCTCATTGCGGATGAACGCAATGTAAATGATATAGATAACGTAACATTTCCTGAACGACTAAAATTGGTGCAAAAATATCCAGTGGTTGTTGCCAGACAATTCTCAACAAGAATTAATGCTCTTATGCGTTATTTAAAACAAAATAATGTCTGCTTGGGTGGAAGTATCCTAGACTACTGGTATAGGATAGAATTCCAGAATAGAGGAAGTCCACACTTGCACATGTTAGTGTGGTGTGAAAACATTCCTGATTTTTCGACAAATGAAGGAATAAGTGTAATTGAAAGAGTTATTTCGTGTTTTTTGAACCCCCATAACAAAGAGTTATTAAATCTAGTCCAAAATGTCCAAATGCATAGACATACCAACACCTGCTATAAAGATCGTACCAACCATTGTTGTCGTTTTGGGTTTCCCAGGGCTCCAAGTGACGCTACCTTATGTTTGGGTCCTGATGAAGCACTTACCAACAACGGTCGGTTTTGCATCTTGCGAAGAACTTCTCAAGAAACTATGGTAAATAACTATAGTCCTGAAATTCTTAGTCTTTGGGGAGGAAACATGGACATTCGGCCATGCGGAAATATCTCTGCCGTCGCGTATTTTACTACTTACTTATTTATTATTATGTTGCAAAATATGCGAGTAAGTGTGAACCTCACGACACTGGAGACGCTGTACGCCAAGCAATTACAAAAGCTAAAAGACGGGGTGGCACAGTGTGGAGCCAACTGTTTGCGGTCTCTATGGCAATACTCTCGCAACGATTGGTAAGTGCTCCCGAATGTGCATATCGTCTTTGCCACCTGCCGCTTAAAATGAGTTCTCGTAAAACAATATTTGTGAATAACTGCATGCCAAATCAACGCTTTCGTTTATTGCGATTTGAAGGTGATGAAACTTCAATATACAACAACATATTTAACCGTTACGTGTTGAGGCCTGATGAGCTAGAAAACATTAGTCTAGCAGAATTTGCTGTGCGTTATGAGTAAGAAATAAGCCAGCTGTGTTACGTACACGTTACTACACACTTAATAGTGACAAAGATGGGTATTATTACAGCTTAATTGTTTGCCATATTCCATTTCGCGATGAAAACCAACTAATGTTGGAAGACGAGACTCCAGAATCTTGTTTTCTTAGACGAAAAGACGAATTAAGGCCTCTGTTGACTAACGTTAGTACCGAAGATTTCGCTCATGCAGAACAAGTCATTCAACAAGCACTTGCCCAGGCAACTGCTTTAAATGTTGCACGTGAAACGCGTTGTGAAAATGTTCCTCGAGAAACGGGTTTCAAAAATATCAGGGACGATCAAATTATAAACGCCGATGAACATATTATCCAAAATCAGGACGACTACTGTGAAGATGTAGAAGAAAGTGGTGCAATGCCTGATGATATTTTTTTAAATAATATTAGAGGTCTAAAAATACAGCAGAAGGATTTATTTCAAATAATTTCTACGGCCATTGAAAAAGATTTACATGGTGATGATGAAAAGTTGTTCCTTTTTATAACTGGAGGAGCTGGCAGTGGCAAATCATTTGTTTTAAAATTACTCGTGGAGCACATTAAGAGGTGTTATGCGCCTACAGTTGATTTGCTTCTAAAGCCTAAATTTGTTGATGTAGGTTCATTGACTGGTGTCGCCGCCCGCCAGGTACTTGGGAAAACATTGCATTCTCTTTTTTTTCTTCCCATCGAAAAAGGTAATTCAACTGCATATAGACGCTTAACTGGTGAAAAGCTAGAACAAGAAAGACGTAAATGGCGTAACACAAGTTGGTTAGTGATTGACGAAGTATCAATGGTTTCTTACGAGAACTTACGAATGATTCATATGCGGTTACAGGAATACAAAAACAATGATAAGTTGTTTGGTGGCATAAATATTGTTCTCTTTGGAGACATCATGCAACTGCCCCCTGTAAAAGGACATTGGTGCTTTGTCCAGCCAACTTGGAATGCTGCAGAAGTTAATTTATGGCACGAATTTTCATTCTGCGAATTAACGATCAATATGAGACAACGTAATGATATAGAGTTTGTTGACCTGTTAAACAATTTACGCGTAGGCGAATTGACAACAAGTCAACTGGAATTGCTCTGTCAGAGGCGAATGGTGGATTTAGATGAAGAGTTTAAGGATGGTGTTGTGGTTCGAATATTCCCGACCGTCAAACAAGTTGACGAATACAATAATGAGATGACAGCTATAAATTCAAAACAAAATCGCGTCTATACAATCCGTTCCATAGATGAGTCTCGTGAAGTTGCTACCTATGGAAAGAAACCTCCAGATAATGTTGTTCCAAAAGATGTGAATAATTGTGGTGGACTTTTATCTGAGGTAAAATTAGCTGTCAAATCTCATGTGATGTTGAGACGTAACATATCAGTATCCGACGGACTCATCAATGGTGCTATGGGTATTGTAAAAATAATAAAATGGCCATCACTACGCAGGGATCAACTAGAGGAAGGAGAATTACTAGATTGCGTATTAGTAAAATTTGACGATGAAAGCATAGGAAGCAGACTAAAAGATAGCAATGGTTGTGTCGCCATACCTTCAGTGGTGGCAACTTTTCAAGGTACGAAGGGTTATGGCGATATTGACCGCAGGATGTTGCCGATAATTTTATGCTGGGCCGTCACAGTTCACAAATTACAAGGTACGACCCTTGATAAAGCAGTAATCGACCTCGGAAAGAAAGTGTTTGCCAAAGGGCAAGCATATGTGGCACTGAGTAGAGTAAAAACACTTGAGGGTATTGCTATATCTGATCTAGAGCCAAATAAGGTATTACACAAACCTCACGATGAACGAGCTTTAGCAGAAATGCAGAGACTGAGAGGTCTACACACAAGAGACTGATAGGTCTAAAGCTCATTCATCGAGAGGTTTTTTTGTAATGTAATGTAATTATTATGTAATGTAGTGATACATCACTCAGAATTAAAATCTGTGAGTAAAAAATAAATCAACCCTATTTTCCTACCCTTAAGGTAGACATTTTTTTTCCAAATTTATATGGGACCAATTTCGAGGTATACCCTATCCAATAAAAAAAGAATTATCAAAATCAGACTACTCTAAAAAAGTTATGCGTCATACATAAAAAAAATATACACGTCGACTTGAGAACCTCCGTTTTTTCGTCGGTTAAAAATACAAAACAGCAAGCAAATTAAAGATGGTACGTTTATTGATCTAAACTTCAATTCAACTTCAAAAAAAAAACGAGAACCGGAGACCCATTTTACCGGAATAGTCATCTCTTAGTTCTCAGGGGTGATATATATACCTATATTTTAATTTTTAATCGAGGGATGTTTATTGGTCACAGCATCTAAATACTTATCATCAGGTGGAGTGTGTGCTTGCTTGTCACCCTTATTCTATAAAATAATGTGGTTAAATTCTTTTCTGCGCAACGATATCCATAATTATAATATAAGCTACTTTAGATCAGACATCGTGCATGCAAAACATAATTGCATGAATATCATTTTGTAATTTTTTTCGCAAAAAGAGGGTTATGTTATTTGGGTATATGACTGTATATTGGGAACTATTTGTTGTTTCTAAACGATTGATTTCAGTAAAAAGCTTGTATAATAAAATAAAAAGACGGTCATTTTGGTATCAAATCCATATTTAAAAAAAAAAATATTCGCTACAATGTTACAAAAACGTCTGAATGTATGGAGATTTTTACAAGACGTTTATCGGTACAGTTTATTCATCATCACTAAAGGCCAGCACAAGTAAAATGCTATACCTAGGTCTCCTCCAAAGAATGTCACAAACGGCGGTCCACAGCTATCTAAATTTATCAACTTTCAACATCCCTTACTTCATCCAGTGGCGTGCCGTCCTACAATGATTACCGGTACAATGCCACTCGAAAAATTTTCATCCCTATCTATTTGTTGGTTTTCAAGCTATATGATCGGTTTATTGCCACTTCAGCTTACTGGGTTTAGGTTGGTAGATATGGTTCTATTGCAGATATTCTCATTTCGAATTTTATCATGCA